AACACAGAGTAAGTGGTTAAAGCACAGAGCTTAGTTTAAATTATCTCATAGCATATGAATGGTTCTGAAGCAGTTGTCAAATTTGATTACACATTAAATAGTTAAGTCAAATGACAAAAGGGAAAACTAATAAGTAAAATAAAATTGTTCTGTTAAGGTAAAGTTTTTTTAATTAGTTCACTAACAGAACACAGTGTGTAGGTGAAAGTATAAAAAAAAACTATTAGTTATAGTACACAGTTACTCTCATCATATATATATACAGGGTGTCTCAAACAGTACTGACATATGGAATAACTTTTTTGGTATTCGATATTTTTTTTTTTTTTGTTTTATTTGTAGATTCTTGCGCTACATGTTTTATATAAAAAAAAATTTTTTACTTTTTTAATTCTGAAAATAAAAAATTTTAAATTTTATAAAAAATGTATTTGAAAAATTCAAAATAGCCAATTTATAAAGCCGATTTTTAGAAAAATTTTGATGGTTCAAATATTTATAAAAGTGTTGCCGTTAATTTTCTACAAATTATTTAGTTTTTGGAAATATGAACAATTTTTTCCTTTATCTAATACTATAAAATGAAGAACAGCTGACTGATAATATTGGGGGCCAATGGAAAGGAAAACGCCGGCTATAGCGAACCCATGGCGTAAAAAATGAAGCACTGCTCCGTTTCCCCAGCCCGCCGGCCGTGTCCCGTCGATTCCTTATAGCGCGACCAATCGCGTACCTTCGCAGTGGCGGCGGTCGGTTTTAAAACGTTTTTCGTTATCTCCTGTTTTCCTATCATTTCGCCGATTTTCGGAAAATTAGCTGTTTTTACACGATATCTTTTCGCCCTTTTATATACTTAATTCGAAGTAACCGGTGTGCGGTTTATATTCGTGTTCAATGTCGATCAATAAATACACTCCCGACCGGACTTTTTTGCCGATTTTTTCCTTTTCTCCCACCGTTTCGTCTATTCGCACCCGTTTGTGTCCGAATCGAGTCTTTTTGAAGCCGTTTATATGCGCTTTTCCCCCAAAATCGGTTCGTTCGCCTCGCAATCGCGTTTGGAAATTACCGTGCGCGTATATATACATGTATATACGGGTATGTATATACGGGTATAATTCAATTTTTCCCTATGATTTAATAATTATTAACGGGAAACGCTTTTCACACGCCCCGTTAAATATATATATGGGAGATGCGAGTATTACAAGCGAATTATATGCGATTACATCGATGATCATCGAATATATCGGTTTACGTCGCTCCGTAGACGCACGGCTTAAGAGTTGATGTTTTGACCGCATTTCATATCTCAAACTGTGTCCGAGTAGGTTAGGCGTTAGGTAGGAAACACTAGGTCCCGAGTTCGAATCCGTCGTACGCTCTCCGGGCGTCGAAATCGGAATTGCCATTTGGTTTACACGGCCGCCCGAAATCTCGACTTTTTTTGCATTTTTTTTTCACTATATTTTTCGTATATAAATTTAAAATTATAATATAATTATAATATAATAATACAGGAACATTATTATTATTTATTTAATTTAAAGTCATTGTCATATTATATCACACAATAAATAGGTACATATTATATTTGTTTTATTAGGAATATTATATTTGTTTTATTATATTTGTTTTATTAGGAATTTATTAGGAATTATTATAATTGCATATTTTTTCAAAATTTTTCAAAATTTCCATGATTGTTATATAAATATAGTTTGTATTTTATTTCGTATCTTTTATTACCGTCTGTCCGTAACATTAAATGCCCTTTGGACCATCATTAGTTAAAACTTATCGCACGGCGGTGGAATGGAGAGGGTAACTAAGCTCGCGGAACCGTACCGTGTTATCCAACGTCAGGCTAATGCCAACGTTCGAAGGAGACGTTTCTATATGCACAGGAACCCTGTTGATTCTTTTGCACATTTTAATATTTCTAGACTCCAAACAAGTGCTTTCCTTCTAACGTATTTTTTGTTTTGGATCAAGCGATTTTTGATACCGGTGAGTACAATTTTGACAGACACAATAATAATATTAGCATTATTACCTATCCCGTGCGTTTGTACATCTATTACATAACATGTAGGGATTCATGGTAGCGCGTATCGTTTAAGGCCATCTTAACTCTTAAGGCATCTGTTCACATTGCAAACATTTGTACATAACCTTTTAACCATGGCGCGTTTCGTGTTTCTTTATCCCCATAAACAGCGTATACAATTTGAATACAACGTTTTTTATATCCACATTCGTACTCGGCTCAGTCACGTCATTCGACAGAGGCCGTCCGTGTCTTAAGTATTTGCGTTAACATTGCGTGTATTCATTCTACTTTATTTTGTGGTTTTAACATTCCTCGAGCTCGGTATGTCGTTTTTCGTATTTTTCCATTTTTCATGTACCTACCTATATGTACAATCTATATTCTATATTATCAATTCTAAAAATAACACAAGTTGCAAAATCCCTACTGATAACATACCGATACGATCATCTTTTCAAAATGATTTCAATGCTTTCATTATAATTAATTATATATTATGTATTATTTTAAATCTTTAAACGATTATACGATGCGTTCCAGGCTATTCACGATGGTGAACCGATGTGTGATCTGTGGAAACGTGGATGGTGACAATAACGTTTCGCTGCACAGGTATTTACAATTTCACCCAACACATATCAATAATGTAACATGTTATAAATCACATTCATCCTTAGAATTCCAACTGACGGGCGTCGTCTTCAGTGGGTGGAATTTGTGGTGAACCAAGGTTTTCATGTAAACCTAAGCTCTAGGTTGTGTTCGAGGCATTTTGTTCCTGGTATTGACTACGTTGAAGGGCATGCACGACACCGTCGTCTGGACCGCGCAGCGGTGCCATCTTTGGTGAGTATCTTCATATCATACATACATCTCCAAGCATCACTACTCATTCATTTCAACACAACCATAACACTGTATTACAATACATATCGCTTACCTACCTAACTACCTACTTGGCTGTATAGCTAAACATACACTTTTTGATGGAGAAACAATGACAAAACGGTCAAAACGGTCTACGCTAGAGCACGATGATATATTGAATATGTTAATTTTATCCTACAGTTGTTGAATTATGCAATACCCACCTAAATATATATTTCATTACAAATGTTTCATTACTCTATATAGCTCATTAACTTCACTAACACTCTTATATCCTTATAGTTTTTTTTATTAATAAAATATTTACATACCTACCACCAAAATATTTACTTTTGTTAACAACATTTTACATTCAAATACAATTACATTATTATAGGTACATTTCACTTTCACATATCTTCATTGTCTTTGAAATTTAAATTTATTCTACATTAAGTTAAGTTTAACAATATTGTACCTATTAATGTCATCAGATGAGTTTTTTCACTTAAAAATGCCATGTGATCTATATACTATTATTACTATAACCATACTTAACTATTACAATAGTCGATTCACTTTGCTCATCATTTATACCTAATAACATACATATAACAAAATATATTACATTATTATAGGTACTTTTCACATACACATATATCTTCATTGTCTTTGACAATTCAATTTATTCTACATTAAGTTAAGTGTAACAATCCTGTATTAATGTTATTCAGATGACTTTTTTCACTTAAAAATTCTATGTGACGTTATAAACTGTAATTACTATAACCATAGTTAACTACTCCAATAGTGAATATACTGTGCTCATAATTTATAATTTGTTTGCTTATTTAACTTAACTTACAATTCATTTTTTTTAATTACAAATGTTTCATTACTCTATATAGCTCATTAACTTCACTAACACTCTTATATCCTTATAGTTTTTTTTATTAATAAAATATTTACATACCTACCACCAAAATATTTACTTTTGTTAACAACATTTTACATTCAAATACAATTACATTATTATAGGTACCTACATTTCACTTTCACATATCTTCATTGTCTTTGAAAATTCAATTTATTCTACATTAAGTTAAGTTTAACAATATTGTACCTATTAATGTCATCAGATGAGTTTTTTCACTTAAAAATGCCATGTGATCTATATACTATTATTACTATAACCATACTTAACTATTACAATAGTCGATTCACTTTGCTCATCATTTATACCTAATAACATACATATAACAAAATATATTACATTATTATAGGTACTTTTCACATACACATATATCTTCATTGTCTTTGACAATTCAATTTATTCTACATTAAGTTAAGTGTAACAATCCTGTATTAATGTTATTCAGATGACTTTTTTCACTTAAAAATTCTATGTGACGTTATAAACTGTAATTACTATAACCATAGTTAACTACTCCAATAGTGAATATACTGTGCTCATAATTTATAATTTGTTTGCTTATTTAACTTAACTTACAGTTCATTTTTTTTAATATATATTACATTAAACTAAACTCAACGATACTATATACGAATGATGACACGGTGTTATATGACACAAAAATTATTTGTCACCACAAACCTTATGTAATTTAACAAATTTCTTTTTTTTTTTGTTACACCTCAACCTTAATATTTATAAACTGCAATTCCATTTTCTTACATAGAAAATCAATTAATAAATTGGGGCATGTATGGTTTGGTACATTCTACAAACTACAACATTTTTTGATTACATTGCATTACACTTTTAATTGACATCAAAGTTAATGACTTTCATAACTATAGGTACTATATTGTGCATTGGAAACAAATAGAAAATAAAATATTATTACCATGTTATTGTTTCACAATAAATACACTATTGTATATTTGGTTCAGTCTAGAATGAACCGTTCTTATAAATCATTTAAATTAACCGTCTATGATTCTATAGGTAGTCGGACCATACAGAGAACGAGAAGATCATGTGGAAAACGTTGATGCCGGGGTACAAGTTCCGAGGGATGAACTTTTGTTGGAAGACAACATTGAGGTAGTTGAAGTCATGATGGACAATGACAACGTTGAGGTAGTTGAAGTCATGATGGACAATGACAACGTTGAAGCAGACGAAGTCGCGATGGACGACGACAACGTTGAAATAGTTATCGTGAACGGAGACGAACAAGTATCAGATAATGATAACTTTGTTGGTGTTTTCGACCTTTCACCACTGTACGACATTCAAGAGGTCAGTATATATTTTGTATAAATTATATTATTCATTTAATGTTCATAAAGAAAAAAAATAATATACAACCGTATCTTTTAAATTTCAGGTTGAACAAATCGCCCCGGTTGTCGCTAGACTGTTGCTAGACCGTCCGGCTGGGATTCAGCACCCACTACCGGAACCACACTACATAGGCGCGTTGAATTACGTATGCCGGTATTGTAGGGCCCTCCACTTTAAGTGCGAGGAAACAAGCCCGAATAATTTTTCTACATGCTGCAACAACGGTCTGATGGCCGTTTCAGGACCGCGTGTGTTGACACCTGCACCGTATTTACTACAGAGGTTGTTGGTTGAAGATTCGGTGGAAGGTAGACACTATCGAAATAACATCCGCCGGTACAACAACACTTTGGCATTTGCTGCATTCTCCACCGCCTTCAACACACGGCGCTTGCCAGGTCGGGGACCGAATGTGTTTACTGTTCATGGGCAGGGATATTGGACGATAAGTAATGACTTGATCGGGAACGAACCTATCCAACGCAGATTCTGCCAGCTGTATTTCGTCGAATCTGGCGAGGCAAACCGGATTCGTAGGGAGCAGCAGCAACTACTGCCTGCCGCACAACGTCTATTGCCAAATGTGCTCGAAGACTTAGACGGCCTGCTACGGGGCATCAATCCATTCGCACAGGCTTTTGAGTAATATATTTAATTAATTTTACTGAACAATCCACATTTCCATTACGCTACACTACAGACAAACCATGTTAACATTGATTCATAACATTGAAATATTTAGTTAGCTAGCGAGTACACATGTCACTATTCCAATTTCCAATTTTAATAATTAATTACACTATTTCATTAGCCTTATGTTAGTGTATATTTACCTGCCTACTTACACTATTAATTTATACATATTTTATTTTGCTTGCATTCATACATTTTCAATTAGTTACAAAGTAGCTTACTTTAATGAGTAATAACTAGAAAAACATAAATTCTTATTCGTAATCACAACACATTATTGCCTAAATATTATATTAACAACGTTCGGTCACAAATTAAAAGTTTATTTTATTTTGTTCATATTCAGTTACGGATGCAGATTTATTTCTCTTACTTACAAGTATTAAGATACTTGGTAGGTATATGGAAAATTCTATACATACACTGCTATACTTCAATGTATGACACAACGTTGGTGCTATACACTACACTATTGCATTGTCACAACTCATTTTTAACTCATCACTAACTTACAACCAATCTTACTCTCTAATGCCACACTTACTTTATACTTACCATAGGCACTACACTTAACATAAAGTATAACTTATTTAAATTGCGTTACTGCTGTCTACGATTGTCATTAGATATTGGTTTTTTTCTATTTCATTTATACCTATGCTTACATTTCTTTACATTATTTTCTTCTTTCTGTGGATACACTCCTATGTACAAACCTCAACTTCTACTTGAATATTTCTCATTTCATTTCAAATGAACACACGTGACTAGAGTTAGAGTTAATGATTTCAATTACTTTTGTTTGTGTTCCTTATGTACTTTAATACACTTCAATTCAATGTATCTAAACAAAACATTTGGTATTATACATTGTAATACATTTTGCATTATGCTATTCTCTGTCATTTTTTTACACTACCACATCACTCTTTGTTGATATTATGTGTGAGGATTAATTAAATAGGACTCTGACGTTGACATTTCTGAGAACATTAACGATACACATATATGTATATGCGCTACAACATGTACCTATTGCACAACGATTAATAAATTTCAATTTTGTACAATAAATCCTAAGACCGTGTTACTTCATTACAGAACCATGCGAGAAGTGTGGGCTAGAGAAAACGCTCCCGACAGGGATCCTCAGTTGCTTCCAAGGAGGGTGAGAATGCATTTCGTCGCCGACGGAAATGTGGACAGGAGGCGATACAACCCACCGCCTGAAACGGTCAACGAAGTCGCAGTAGTGTTTGTCGGTGATGACGGTCAACCGCCAACAGACGTCGATCTGGTGATCCACGACCGGAATCCAATTGACCCGCAACATCGTCGACTACAGACCATACCAGCCGGCTCTTCAAACGCGGATCCAATGCTGTATCCCCTACTCTTTCCACGAGGAGAGCTGGGTTGGCATCAACGTTTGATACAAGAGGGCCCTCGCCGAACCCCTGTTCGCAATCGGAACAGTATCAGGGAGTATACTTGCTATCGTCTTGCTATTCGTTACAATGGCAACAACGACACAATCCACGATGCTATGAGTTTATTACATAATGGTCGATATCTGTTGCAACAGTTTGTGGATGATCATTACGTTAGAATGGAAGCGAACAACTTAATGTACATTAGATATCATCAAGCTGAGCTTTTCGCAGAATCGTATCAGGGACTTGTGGATCACATCAACCAACAGCTCCAAATTGACGCACCCGTGGCGGGCGTCGGCCGTAGGATGATTTTGCCATCGTCGTTTACAGGTGGTCCCCGTTTCATGAAACAGTGTTATCATGACGCGATGGCCATTGTGAGTAAGTGTGGAAAGCCTAATCTTTTTATTACGTTTACGTGTAATCCTAGCTGGCCAGAGATCACACAGAACCTACCGAGATGGGCCACGGCAACCGACAGACCGGACCTGGTGTCCAGAGTGTTCAACGCGAAACTCAAGCAGCTGATGCGCGACATAACGGTGAACAATATATTTGGTAATGTCGATGCATATGTTTATACTGTCGAGTTTCAGAAACGAGGACTGCCGCACGCCCACATACTGATCATTCTGAGTGAGGGTAGCAAGTTGCTAACTGCCGACGACGTCGACAATGTAGTGTGCGCCTTCTTGCCAGACCCGGTGACTGCTCCGCGTCTATTCGATTGTGTGACGAGACACATGATTCACGGGCCGTGTGGCACGCTGAACCCAAACAGCCCATGCATGGTGGACAACAGTTGTTCAAAGAAGTTTCCAAACGAATACAGCGAAGAGACTGTATACATTTCTGACGGTGGTTACCCAAAGTACTATCGGCCAAACAACGGACCTGTGGCCAGGGTCAGAAATCAACAGGTCAGCAACGAGTTTGTCGTGCCTTACAATCCGTACCTTTTAGCAAAATACGATGCACACATTAATGTTGAGGTATGCTCTACTGTGAAGAGTGTTCAGTATTTGTATAAATATGTATATAAAGGGCACGATGCTGCGACCATGGAATTATGGAACGGAAATGAAATAGACAGGTATGTTATCAAAATGCATTTTTCCATAAGTTAACACATTATATTCTTTCAACTATTATAGCATTAATTGTAAAGTTCTTTTTGTTTTTCTGGCCTCACTGTGACCTCCTAACCTAACGTACATTGCACTTGCAACTTATGTAAACTTAAATTATTGTACATAAACACAACATAGAACAGCAGAGTATAAACTACTGGTGTTCATTAATTTAGAGTGGTTGTTGAATATATAACTTTATATTAGCTTAAAACAACTGCCCACTTAATGCATGATTTCTATTATTTGAAATTTCACTACAGTAGTATCAGCATGGCCAGTTGACAACTGTGTAACACAATCATCATTCATATAATAATATGTACTCCTCAATCAATAACTGAAATCATTTTCAATTATTTTTCATTATTTCAATTCGCTTAACTAAATATAATACTCAATCATCTCACATCTCATCTCAATAGTAAAGACATTTTAGGAAAGCTGTTCAGCATAATATAAATTATTGAAATCGGTACTTTGTACATTAGAAATTTCATATATATATTATTCATTTATTTCATTTGACAAGCATTTCTCTGTTCACACTACAATGACCTAACACTACAGTATGTTATTAAGAAATTAATTACAGCATATTATTAATTAACATTTATAAATTATTATAGACATAAGTTAGATTTTTGAAAGCCATTTACCACTTTTTAGACTAAGTCTTAAGGTCTTAACTTATGTACATTGAATATAATTAAAATGCAAAAAACAATATTTTATCGTATTCTTCTTCATTAAGACTAAAATAGTGTTACACTATACTTTGACATAATTACGTTTATTATATATACATCACAAACAATAGTATTACGACATTTTACTCATGACAATATTTTATATATGTAAAATAATGAGATTTTAAATAACTATTGATTTCTTTTTGTACAACTTTATGTTACTTAACTTTATGTTCTAAATATTTTTGATACATACATACATAAATGTTGTTTTCAGTTACATAAATTCGAGGTACGTCAGCCCACCGGAAGCCGTCTGGAGGTTGTTTGCGTATAAACTACACGACATCAGTCACACGGTAGTTAGACTTCCGGTTCACCTAGAAAACTACCACAACGTGTACTTTGCGCGTGGACGGGAACTACAGGAGGTACAAAACAACGCCCTACCTCGAACAAAACTCACGGCGTTCTTCGCGCTCAACGAGAGAAGCGTTGATGCAAGACAGTATCTGTTCCACGAGATACCGATACATTACACTTGGCAAGTATCGTCAAAAGAGTGGAGACTGCGGCGAATACGGGCACCTCGCGAGACGTTGGCTCGGATGTACGTCGTCAACCCACTGGATAGAGACCGTTTTCATCTACGACTACTACTCTTGCACAAAGAGGCCCGCGGTCTTTCCAAGACTTGAAGACGGTAAACGGGGTCGTGCATGCCACATACGCAGCCGCCGCCATTGCGTTGGGATTGTTGGAAGACGACGAAGGGTGGCGGGCGTGTATGACAGAATCATCGGCGTTGGACACAGCCACTCAACTGCGTTATCTATACGTCACGATACTATTGTTTTGCCATCCCGCGGACCCCGCGGATCTGTACCGACGGTTTGAAGTCAACATGATGGAAGACTTCAATCGGCGCTTCCAAAACGTAGACCGTGCGAGGGCGGCGTGTCTCAAAGCAATCGGAGACCTACTTCGTGCACGCGGAAAATCACTCGACGACTACGATCTACCCAATCCAGACGACGATCTACTGGGACCAGATCAAAACGATCCAATGCTCGGTGCAATAGATGCGGCCGTTGCCTGGCAACAACGATTGCGCGACTTGAACGACGAACAGCGAACGGTATACGATCGAGTGATGGCGGCCGTCGACGACAACCGCAACGTCCAGAAAATGTTCTATGTCGACGGGCCAGGAGGCACGGGAAAAACGACGCTATACGGATGCCTAATATCGTCGCTTCGTAACAGACAACGAACGGTGTTGAGCGTGGCATACACCGGGATCGCCGCATCCCTCATGGAGGGCGGCATGACTGTGCACTCGACTTTCGGATTGCCATTGGGAACGCTGACCGAACAGTCTACTTCGAGCATCAAGTTGCAGTCTTTGCGCGCGCAAAGGATACGCGAAGCTTCGCTGATTGTCTGGGACGAAGCGCCCATGTCCCCGGGCCTACAATTCACAGTGGTCGATCGCTTGCTCAAGGACATCATGCAATCGGCACTACCGTTTGGTGGTAAACCAATACTGTTAGCTGGCGACTTCAGGCAGATATTGCCCGTCGTTCGCCGGGGGAACAGGAGCTCCATCGTCATGTCCTCCATCAAACGCCACTCATTGTGGAGAGAGTTTGAACAGTTTCGGCTGACAAGGAACATGCGCGCCAACAACGACGC